AACTCTCCAGCTCTTTCCAATGAGGTCACCATATTTCCAGGCACCAGTTTCTGCATCTACTAGGCTCAACTCTCTAGACCACAGCCCCTATAAATTGCCCAGGGTAATTTCCAATGTCATTTTGAAATGTTCGGGCCACTGATCCACAGTGGTAGTAATGGGGACAAAAGTAAGTCTTCTTACCACCCCACTCCCCTGCTCTCTTATTACTACAACACAATGAGAAGTCATGAATGAGTTGGGAATTTGAGGAGAATTTATACAATCAAGCATCCAATCGTATATTCTAAATACAAGTGTTTTGTTGGGCTGATAGTTTGTTAATATTTTATTTGTATGGGACTTTCCTTTGTATTTCTGTAACAGTTTGTGTGTGTGTGTGTGTGTGTGTGTGTGTGTGTGTGTGTGTGTGTGTGTGTGATGGAGCCCAGGGTTTTAGGCATGCTAGGCAAAGGCTCTACCACTCAGCTACATCCCCAGCCCTTATATACAATACATTGACAGCAATGGTCAAAAGGAACAGAGTTCCCTTGTGAGATAATTTTGAGTTTGTTCTAGGGAGTGGCCTGAAATATTCCGGAGTGAGATTGCCTGGGTTCAATCTTTTACTTTGCCATAGCTCTCTGACTTTTGAAAATTACTGAACCCGTAAGGGTATCAAGTTCCTTACAGGAAAAAATAGTGAGTAATGGCACCTATTCCAAAGGCTCATGTGGTGATGAGGTGAATTAGCACATGGAAAACTTTTAGAACAGTAGCAGAATAATTAAGTACGAGCCATCATTATCCACTTACGCTTTATAAAAGTTGCTCCCAGAAGATTGTATGTTATGTGATTCTGATGCTCAGTTGCAAAATTCCTATTTTCTATACTTCTTGAATTGCACAGTAGAGGCTAATTGAACAAAGGTACAGATTGCTTATTTATTTCATACTAGAAATTCAGAAGAAAATTTTTGCAAGAAATATTCTTCAACTTCTTATTCTGTGCCTCTATCACACACAACTTTTCTGATTAGTCTGATAGTCAGAAAGCTAGTCAGTCAGTAGAAACACAGTATGATGTCTAACTCTGTCAGCTGCTTCAGACCAAAAACAGTCTTTTGTTAATGGTAAAATATTAAGTGAACCAGGTGTGGTAGAACAGCTATAATCCCAGCACTAAGGAGGCTGATGCAGGAGGAACACCAGTTTAAAGCCACAATGAGCTAACTAGTGAAAGCCTGTCTTAAATAAAATAAAATATTAAGTATCTAGAACAGCAGCAACTGGAAGCTGAAGCCTTGGAGCCAAAGGAACTGGGTTTGCACCCTAGCTTTCCCTCATTTTTCATATTCTTAAACAAATGTCCTGATTTCTTGGCATCTCAATGAACTCCCGAAAAATGGGGAGCATAATAATACCTACTTCACATAGATGCCTCAAGATTAAATGCATTCATATATGCCAGCACTTGTAGCAGTAACTGATAACATCAGCCCTAAATAAAAGAGCTGCTCTATTTACCAAAGGTTTCGGAGGTGGAGTTCATGCCCTGCCTGGGTCATTTTGTCTAAAATTTGGCAGGAACTTAGAAACTGTGAGGCCATTTTGATCAGCCAAATTTCTGGTCTGAACTTCTAACTTTTCGATTCTTTATTGTCATGTAAAATAATTCTGTGTCAAGGACTACATTTGTACTTCTAGCAATGGTCCTACAATGGTAGGACTCTACACTAGTCTTTTATAAAGGATAGAAGTTCAGAGTGGTCCTAATTAATTAAGCAATCTCAGTTGCATGAAATATTACTTAATGTCCTAAATGTATTTTGCAGGGTATAAAACACATAAGAAATTTTAAAATGTGAGCATGCTTTAGAAAAGTAGCTCCCAGAAGATTCTTTGTGTTACATGATTCTGATGCCCAGTTGCAGAATTCCAGAAGGCGGGGGTTATATAAAGAATACTTGAGTTTCTGAATCCTTGATATGCAAAGATACATATTAAGCTAAATTCTCCTTATGCATGGGAAACGACATGTGGACAAACACACTGCTATCAATTTCAGATTTTGCTAGAACATAGACTGGAGTAGAATTACTAATTCCATTAAAAAGCACTATGGTTTGAATGCAGTTTGTCCTTGCAAAACCTCACATTGAAATTCAATCCCCGTTTGGGGTTTAAGACAGTGGAAACTTAATCTAACTGTTTAGATGTGAGGCCTTTGGGAGGTGACTGGGATTAGATGAAGTCATCAAGGTGGAGACCCACACTTGAATCCTGGTGGCTTTGTTGGAAGAGAACAGAGACCAGCTTTCACACACACCCTGTCTCTCCCATGTGATGCCCTCTGCCACCTCAGGACTGTGCTAGTAAGAAGGCCATCACCAGATGCTGGCCCTCAGTCCTGGATCAACTCTGTGAGCTAAAGTAAATCTCTTTTTGTTTTATTGTAACTTGTTTAATGTTACCTTTGTTTTTCTGAGATAGAGTCTTGCTATGAAGCCCAGGTTGGACTGGATCTCAAGATCCTTGATTGCTGGGATTACAGGTGTATGTCACTATGCCTGACCTGTGCTATCCTAAATGCCCCAAAAGGTCCTTTGCTAACAGCTTCATCAGCAGTCTGTAACACTCTCCAGGTACTGGAACCTTTAAGCTGTGAGGCCTAGGGGAAGGAAGTTAGGTCACCTGGGGTGAGCCCTTGAAGGGATATTGACACCCCAACTTCTTCCTCTGTCTTTGTTTCTCAACTTCCAGGAACTGAGCAGCCTTGTTCTATCATGTGTCATGATGGTTTGCCTCACTAAAGACCCAAAAGTAACACAACCAGCTCTCCATTGGTTGAAACCTCTGACACTGGTACCAAAAGAAACCTTCCCTCCTTTAAGTTTTATCAGCAATGGAAAGGACAATATACACAGCCTATGGCACTGTGTGATGAGCAACTGAAAATGACTAGGATAGATAGGAATATCTGAGAAAATTCCCTGTCTAGCTACAACCTCCTCCTGTGATAGGAAGCCATCTTTGCCAGCTGTCACAGAGGTACTCACTGTGGTGAGCAGAAACTTGGAAAGCAACAGCTTTGTTAAAAACAGATCCAGGCAGGGGGGAGAAATAAACCAAGCCTTGTATGCACATATGAATAATAAAAGAAAAATGAAAAAAAAAAAAAAACAGATCCAGGACTTTGTGCCTTTCCCAGTCCAGACATGAGTTCTTTGAGGAAAATCAGGAATCTTGTTTTCTACTTTTTGGATGGATAAATGAGAACAGACTCTGGAACAAGTGCCCAGACACCATGAGGGAATTTGAAACCTGTTGTTAGTTCATTATCTGTGACACTGCCCCTCACCTCCTCCTTCTCCTGCCTCCCTCCTCTCCCCAGGGTCAGAGCAGATGTGATGTTCTAAAGGAGAAGGTGTGGTGCAGGTCTTGCCTTGGGGACCAAAGATGCCCTACTTCTCAAGGTGATAAGATTCCATTTACATAAAAGCAACTCTCACTTAGTGAATCTCCTGAAGTTCAGCTCCCCTAGAGCTGTGGGGCTAGGGCAATGAGTGTAGCAAGCTGGAGGACACAAGACAGAAGATGTCTTATCCTTGGCAATGGACTCTAGTGATGCTCTACAGGTTTAGAACTCTTCAGCACCATGTACCATTCTGTCCTCACAGTAACCTGGTGAAAGGGGCAGGACAAGTATTATTATAGTCAAATTAGAGAAATATAAAGTGCCTTGCCTAAGGTCACAAAGCCAATCAGTGTGCTAGCTGGAAAGTATGTCTCAGTCCCCTGACTCTCAGTTTACAGATTTCTGTACCACCTCAAAGTCTACGGATGGGATGACCTTTCTGATAAGTCCTAACAATTACACACACATTGCAGACATATCTGAGTTTAGGATGTAGGCATATATACTTTTTCATGATAAAATTATGTCTACTCATCTCAGAAACATTGACAGAATAAAGAAAAAAACATCCCCACCACAGAAGTACTGTTTATCATTGCCATTTGCAGTATTTTCTATGGAATCAAGGGAATTTTGCTGTGAGCTGGAATATGTGCTTTGGAGGAATAGTGTTAAAATGGTGTTTAGCAGTTTGACTTCTAGAAGTATATGACCAGTTTCCTTCCTCAAACCTACTTGGCTGTATCCATTCAAATTCCTGAGTTTGTTCTGCTTCCGCAGAGCTGAAGTTTTCATAAATTCAAAATGCTTGCTAATTCCACCCTCTCAGGACCATTGTGCATTTTTTCTCCTCCTGTCTTTCATATCAAACCTGATTTCTGGCTAACCATTTGCTTCCTCATGAAATCCTGACATGTCATCTCACCTCTTCTCCCACCCTTCCCACACTGCTTTCCTTCCAACCTCAGTCTATTCCAAGTAGAGTGTAAAGCAGATGAGAGTTGTTTAAACAAAACACTTAGTATTTCCTCCCCTTTGTGCCTAATTGTGTGACTCTCAGTAAGTTACTTCACCCTCTGAGCCTGAACTTTGTCTTCTTTAAATTGCAGCATTTGGCTCAGATGATTTTTAAGTACTTCTTAAGCCCTAACTCTCTAGGGTTCAACTACTAAATAAACTCAAGACAGAGTGTGAGTGCCCAGCAACACTGATCTTTCAGGAGAAATCATGCATAGTCTTGGTATGTATCCCAGGCTGGCCTTGAACTCAAGATCCTCCCACCTGAGCCTCTCAAGTGCTGGGATTACAGGCAGGTGCCATCACACCCAGCAGATATCTGTTAAGTATCTACCAAGGTCTGTAATGGATGAGTCTGGTAAACAAGTCAAAGTGTCTCTGACATCCTGAAGGTTATTGGATAATGAGAATACAGACAAACAAGCAGGTAATTATAAAAAAGTATAATATTTGCATTTTGAAAGTATAGGGATCTATGGCCTGTGAAGGGATAAGAGTGGCTCTCTTCTGGAAGAGTATTTTATTATGGTTATAAAAATGAAGGAAGATTTATTTCATCTTAATAAATATTTATTTACTGAATTTCATCATAATATACCAACTATAAATGCAGCTTATATTTCTAACATTATTTTTAGCATTTTTATATAGTTAAGTATTTATTATTTTCTTGCACAGATTACAGAAAACTTATTTGAAATCTTTTATAGTATATTACATTACACATTATTAATTCTTGTATCTGATATAATGATCATTGACAGGACTACATGAAGACCTCTGTGCATTGATCAAAATGCACTCTTATATTTTCGCAGTATGGGGTTTGAACTCAGGGCCTTGTTCTTGCTAGGCAGGCACTCTACCACTTGAGCCATGCCCCCATGCCACATGCTCTCTTTCTGGGGTTACACTAAATTTCCTTCAGAAGGGACTTCTTCGTTGTGTTTCTCACAGTCTGTAGGAAATCTTTGACATCGGTGCCTCCGGTCCCTCTGTTCTCCAGGTCTTCCGGCTTCTCCAGCTTATTGTCTTCCTTAGCCTTCTGGCTTGCAGGATCCAGAATGTATTCTCTCACTATTTTCAAGTGGTAATCCCTCAGGGACACCATGTTTAGCACACAGCTATTATATGCTTTCTGCAAGTTGCTGCCACCTTGTGAAATGACAAACTCCCGAAGCGATGGGCCTGACTCTAATGAGCGAAGGAAGTCCCGGTGAGCTGGCGGCATATACAGTCTCATTTCCTCGAGGAACTTAGCAGCTGATCCTGAAGAAACAAAACAAAGATGGGTAACCAAGAGGCCTGGCCTTCCGCAAGCAGGGGAGACAGGTAAGGTTAGAGAGGGTGGGTGTCACGTCCAGGCACAGAAGGTGAGTCTGAGTGTAAGGCCATCTTACATGAAAGCTAAATAGTCACTAGCAACAGCAAATACTGAAAATTATCATTAGTCCTAAAAACGAAACGAGCAAAACTCACTTTCCATAATGAGAATTTTTGTTTGTGCCTCATTTTTCTACTTTTTCTACTTTTTCTACTTCCAAGAGGCCACCAGTACAGACTGGGTATGTATCATCTGCAGTCAGCAGGTCATGACTCTGAGCTGGAGAGAGGTTAAGCATCTTTTTAGATGTGTCTGGAAAAAGCAAAAAGTATACTTTCTCTTAACCAAGTGCTTCCTCCCTTTATTGGTTAAGCAGACTCTTAATAAAGCAGAGAAGAAGAGTAAAATGTTTTCCCTCCTCTCCTCTGAAGTCTCTGGAAGGCATATGACAAACGTGGCTCATCTTTGTGTCCTGTGCAGGACTCGCCTGGTGCTGCTGGCTGCTGTGTCCTCAGGATGGTTGCGTGTGAGACCTGTCACTGAGATCTCTATGTCTCCAACTCCTGCCCACGGTTGTGTGTTATTTGCAGGCAACTTTCCACATCAGATCTGACATTTTCAGAAAAAGAACACTGGCTTCCCCAGAGGCTACAGCAACATGCTCAAGTTTCAAGATCAAGGCAATGATGAACCTGGGGTCAGCTTTGGCTCACTGGCTTTCTAGCTGGTTAACAAGGAGCTGGTTACATATCCTCTGTAAGTTTGTTTTTTCATCGTGAAATGGATGATCACTATATAGGCCCTACTTGGTTGATTATGCTAAAAGCATCAGATAAGCTCAGACAAGATGCTGATGGGAAGGATTTTTAACAGATATTAAGATATGATCATCTTAACAGAAGATGATTGATATTTGTCATTCCCACCTACCTCCAGTGGCTCTGTGATCTGTGCCCAGAAGCACATCGAGGCACTGAAAGATGCTGCTTTGGGCTGCACTGCCCCCTGCATACTGTTTTGGGGTGTCCCAGACCCCTTCATACAGCAGACCTTCTGGCAGCTGAGGGTTGTTTTCCCAGCTAGTGCAAGAAGGAAGGAAAAAACATTCTTTAGATTGTCAATTTTCAGATAAAAAATCTCCCACTAGAAGTGACAAAAATAATAAATAACACAATTCTGAGCAAATTTGCTATAACTCTCTCAGAATGGAAGTTTATGTCTGTACTCGTGTGGATCATTGACTCCCTTTAAAATGATGGACTTTCCAGTTCAGTTCCCTTTCCTGGGCATCCCTGGCCAGGCAGTAACAAAGAGAGAGAGAAAGAGAGAGAGAGAAGGAGGGGAAGGAGGAGAAAGAGGGGGAGAGGGAGGGGGTAAGGTAAGGGGAAGGAGAGGGAGAGAGAGAGGGAGAAGGGGGGGAGAGAACGTACAGTCTGTTCTTTCTTTCCAACATGTATTTTAGAATATAAATTGTTTTCTAAACCCAGTGAACAGTGAGGGCCTTCAATAGGAGTTGGTATGTTCCTAATATTTGAGAAAAAAACAAATTCAAGCATAAGACTACATACCCAGACAAATATATGCGAAGAACATTGAAAAATAATTTGGGGTCCACATGTTCTGTAAAAATATGAAATGTGTTTAATTAAGCATCTTCAGAGGTGTACAGGAAATTCAGAGTGTTGTAAACAACTGACAGGACCTCAGCAGAGGCTGAAATTTCAGAAAGACATTGGGCATTGGGGCAGTCTGCAGACACAGCCAGGATCCCTCCCAGAGGAGCCCTGCCCAGTACCCCGCCTAGACCCACTGAGTGGGTTCTGCCATTAGCTTGTGTTGAGGGCCACCTGCCCACCTACTATGCATCATCAGTTAAACTGCCCTCATTTCCTTTGCATAGTTTTATGCACTAACTTACACAACAGAGAAACTGCTTGCAAGAAACAAACCAGGACTAGGGATGCAGTTCAGTGACAGCTTAGCACGTGTAAGGCCCTAAGCTCCATCACTAGCACCACGAAATAAATAAATAAGTAATAAGTAAATAAACAGCCCAGTATCCCATGGGCTACATTCCCAGGTCTCCTTCCTTAAAGCTTATGAACAATTAGTCAGCAGTGACTCCAAACCTAGTAATAAACAACCATCTATTTGTTAGGTCCTTCCAGCAGGGCAGACTTCCTTTTACAAATAACTGCTTACTCACTCTTCCAGTTTTTGTATTGTTTTAAGCTGTTAATTTTGCAATAACTTTTCAGCTCAATGACTGTTGTTTCTTAGTGAATTCTGAAGAAACAGAAGCTGTTCTCAGCATTTAAAATTGCTTTCACATTTAGCAGATTTCTTCTTTTTTTTTTTTTTTTGATACTGGGGTTTGAACTCAGGGCCTCATACTTGCTAGGCAGTCGCTTAACCATTTAAGCCACTCCTCCAGCCCTTTTTTTGTGATTGTGTTTTTTTAGAGATAGGGTCTCATTTCCCCAGGCTGGCTTTGAACTGCAATCCTCCTGATCTCTGCCTCCTGAGTGGCTAGGATTACAGGTGTGAGCCACCGGCACCCGGCTCTTCATGGTTTTAGTAGCAGTCAAGAAACTCCTCAGAGTTTCCAGCTTGGAATTCTGGGTAACCTTGAATTGTCTAATCTCTTTGACTTCAGTTTCCTTTATCTGCAGAATGGAGATGATAAGCCCTACCACACAGGAAATACAACAGGTTAGTGATGAGATAAACCAAGTACTAAGTGGTGGTTAGCTTTTGCCTCCCTTTTCTCAACAACTCTTCACTCCAGACAACCAGAAACATCTGACCGCCCCGAGTAGGATACTTGCCAGGGATTTTCTCAAACACTTTACGGGCTTTTCGCAGGCACTGCTGTATTTTAAGCAGTGTGTCTTTCAAACTCTCCTGGTCCTGACGTTTTATAGCATTGAATACATTGGGAATTTCCTGAAAAAGAAACAAACAAACAAGACAAATATGTAAGATCTCCTACAACTAAATATCGACACAGAATAAACTTTTCCCAACTTAGTCTGCAATCCATTTTTATTTTTAAAAGCCAAAAATATTGAATTTATTTTACTGTATATTAAAGACAAATTACATTGAAGACTTTTTTTTTTACAGTACTTGAAGGTTTTTATTTATTATATGAGTTTCAAACTGGATTCTAAATATAAGGCCTCTAGATTTTATGTTTCAGGTGATACACAAAAATCAATGAAATAAAATGTTTCTGTTAGATGGTCCATCACCCCCAATTAAATAATCTAATGCTATATTTATTCCAGAGAAAGTCAATTCATGCTACTATACTTCAATCGCCCATGTAAATTCATATAAAATACCCAAAAGTGAGAGGACGCACTTTGATCGCTGGAGACGCTGCAATTTCCACCAAGAGGGAAAACAGAAAGAATCCTTTACCACAGTCCCCCCCAGGAAACGAGAACAAAATGTCCATGTTCCTAAGAAAATCAATTGAAAGGCAGACAAGAAATTTAGCAAAGTCAATGGTACATTTGTAGAATGACACGGATTTCAAGCATTTTTGTTTATCTTTTGGTTTTCAGCATTATTTTGCCATGATGCTATGGTAGGTCCTCCTATCTTCACCACGTATTTGAGAATGTTAAGAGTCAGTTACATCAGTCCCATTGTTGAGAAATATAGATAACAAATACGGTTAATCTGGGGCTTGAAATTTTATTCTAGAACTTGGAACTGGAAAGTCTCCAAATTGCTCTATCCGTTAACTTCTTGCAGGTATATACAGTAGCACAGATGTGCACTCACTGTTGATGGAGAAATCTTTGAGGTAGAGTTTTAAGAGATACGTTTTTGTTTAAATAAATACATTCTTATTCATACTTTTTATCTGTGATCCTGACTTCTCCGTTGATTTATGGCTTTACAAAGGAATTAACCAGGAAAATATGAAAACTGGTTGGACACTACTTTTCTTTTCTTTTGGCATTGGTGCCAACATGGTCTAAGAATCTGTGTGTCTATGAGTTTTGATTTCTGAAGCCAGACTCCCCCTCCCACTGTCCCTGGAGCTTTGCTCTGTGTCACTCGCTGTCTCTGTGTTTGCAAAATGGGACTGATGGTGCCATCCTTCTGTTTAAAACTCTATTTAAAGATACTTTTTTAACTCTTGATCAGAGCCAACAAAATCCTAGGTAATGATTTTTATAAATTTATTTCGTCATGCTTTCCCCATATAATTTTTGTCATTCATTATTTACAGTGACACCAGGTCCCCTTCAGCATGATTTTTGTCACTTCAAGGTCTTCACACTAGCTATTTTCTCTGCTAATTCCCTCTCGGTCTGCTGGACTCAAATAAATTGCTTCAGGGACTCCTCTCTTCAAATCTTTTGTTTGCTTATTTGCTTACCTTCTTACTTTACTCTCTCTATATTAGAATTTGAACTCAGGGCTCTATGTTTGCTACACAGGTGCTCCACACTTGAGCCATGCTCCCAGCCCTTTTCACTTCAATTATTTTTTACAGAGTGGTATGTCTAGGCTGACCTGGACCACAATTCCATTTTTTCTTCCCACATAGATGGTGCGAGCCATCACACCCAGCTTTATTGGTTGAGATGGGGTCTCCATAACTTTTTGCCTGAGCTGGCTTCAAACCCCCCTCTTCCTGATCTCTGCTTCCTGAGTAGCTGGGATTACAGATGTGAGCTCCATGCTTGATCTTACTTCTCTTCTTAATCAAAGAGTATATATAATCTTCAGATATTGGATTATACCGTGATACCTACCTTAGCAAAGTTTAGAGTATAGGACAAAAGTAGCAAGATTGGGACAAAAGAGCTACTTAGTGACACTGTTCACTAGCTCCTGCCACAGGGGTAACTAGGTCATATATAAGTAGATGTATGTACATTTTGTATATTAATTACATCTTTGCATAATTGCATATATATATATGCAAGTAATATATTTCTATGTACCTATAGCTCTAATGTCAAATAGACACAAATCAAGCTTACTAGTTGTTACTATTAAGACATTTGCTAGATCAAATAGTCATAAATATAATAAGGACTGGGATTCATTGCCCTTTAAAATCACTTAAATTAGTTTTTGCATGAATTAAATCATTTAAAAATGCATTTGGACTATATTGATAAACTTGCATTCACTATGAGTAGCAAATAATTTTTAGAACAAAGGAAGAATCAAATACTCACTCATATGTCATGGGCCTTAGGAAAGCAGCCATGAAGCAATGGAGCAGTTGGAAGAGAGAAAGAAAATCAATTTAAAATCAAGTGAGTTTGAGTTATCATCATTAGATTGAATATTACTGATCTATCAGGTAAAAAAAAAGAAAAAATGGTCTTCACATTTCACAAGATTGCATCGCAAACATTTAGCTTGCAAGTTAAGTGAAAAAATGAATATGCGAGGAATAAACATATTTAAAACTAATTGTTACTATTAAGACACTTTCTTCATCAAATGCTTTCATGCCGTGGTGCCCCATGTTCCTTGTGGGTGCATCCCATGGCCACAGGGCACTGTAGCTCTCTGTTCCTTTATTGTAGCCGGTCCCATCCCTAAGTCCATTTTCAGAGCAGGCAGCTCTGAAAGCCCAGCTGTTGCTGCCTCTCCAGCTGTAGATGTGCTGACTCTTCAATGTAACTGGAACCTCAAAACCATGACAACCTGTGCTTTAATTCATAAGAAATCCAGTTACTAACCCAACTAGCCCAGCACAGTGGTGCATGTCTGGAATCTCAGCACTCAGGAAGCTGAGGCAGGAAGAGCTTGAGTTCCAGAACAGCCTGGGCAACACAGCAAGTTGGAGACCAGCTGGGCTACATGGCAAGAGTCTATCTTAAAAACAAAATAAAACAAAAAACTAGTTTTTTAAATACAAAACCAACTAATTTTTGATAAGACAAATCAGAATATATTTGCCTGGTTGAGAGAAGGGAGCTGAATAGAAAGGGGCACACAGAATTTTCTAAGGTGATAGGAATACTCTTAGCTTGCTTAGGGTGAAGGTTACCTATGTTGTACAGCTAATACTCAAAATGAACACATAGGTTGTCTGAATTTTCCTGTATGCCCACTATGCACCTCTCTCTCACACACTATAATACATTTGTAGTTATAGCACAATCATCCAGGAAACCATATCCAACAACAGAGAAGCCATGTTGCCAAAAATTATCCCAAATCTACCTAGATTTCTATTCCAATTCCTGTTTGAATCCCAGTTTACGCACCCACTAGGATCCTTCTTCTTCCAGTTTGCCAGGACGCAGTCTGCATAAAGCAGAATAGGAGGCAGCCCCAGCTTCTCAGAGAGTCCGCAGTATGGGACAGCAATGTTTCTCGGCAAGACCTAATTAAAAACAGTATCTAGTCTTAATTGTTGAAGTGTCTTACCTTTTCCTCTGCTTCCTGTGCACCAAAATATTAGTGCTTCTACATGATGGCGTTTTCAAGTCAAATTAATGCAATTTTTTCTCCTTCATGAATTCATAACGTAACTCTGGTTAAATGTTCCTGTTTTGGATTTGGGTGGATGTGGGGATGTGGCCATAATTTGGCCACATAGAGGAAAAAGAACAAGGGAGCAAAAGCCTGCACCTTTTTTTCTAAGGGCCTTTCGCATTACTTTCACTCCTTCCTTCATCCATCCATCCCAGGAGCAATCATTAAACAGTTTTTTCTATGCATGACACATTATCCTCTGGCAATAACCAAAGACAAACTCAATTTTCTCAAGAGATGCCCAAAGTCTTTGTAACTAAGACCTGTGAATGTGATACGCACTATAAGTATAAACAGATCACTGCTGTTGGAGCTCAGTACTGAAGGAAACTTGCCAGGATGATTTATGTGCACGTGTCTCTCTGTGTGTATGTGTGTGTGTGTGTTTAAGGGTTTCACTGTGAGTGACATGGTGCTTGTCCTCAAAGACTTTCTGGTGTTTAAAGGAGGAAGCTCCCTCCTCCAGGCTTGGTGTGTCAGTGTGAAAATACATCATTTGGAAGAACAGTCCTGTCATGGTCCAGCGATCCCATTACCTGGATGGATGTGATGATTAATCTAATTGTCAGGGTGACATGCCTCTGGGTATGTCTGTGAAAGTGTTTTCGGAGAAAATTAAGGGTGGAAAACCTGCCATCAGTGTAGGCTGGGGGGCCAGGGAATAAAAGGAGATGAATACCCACTAGCTCAGGCATTCCCTCTCCTTCCTGGCCTCCATGAGGTCAAGACTCTCCTCCATCTTCGGCTCCTGCCACCATAATGTTCTGCCCACCTGCATGGGGCTAAGCTACCTTGGACTGAATACTCTGAAACCACCACAAGCAAAATAAATCTTTCCTCCCTTAAGTTGTTTCTGTCAGGAATTTTGTCACAGGGATGAAAAAGCCAGCAAGCTCAGTGGGTAAATGGTTGGTCTGATCCTGACAGTGTCTCAGCTAGTCCCCTGATGTCATTGTTTCTTGGCCATGTTCTCCAGCACCTCCACTGGCTAGAAAGCTAATGATTCATTCTCTATCTGCCTGACTTCACCACCTCCCCATTACTGGACTTACAACTGGATGGTCCCATGTAGAAATTAGGTTAATAGTTGTCAGCAGCAGCCTGAGACAGAAATATGTGTATCTAATCAGGAAAAGAACAGGGAGGTATGGCCAGTCTGGGGTAGTGGATATTGGAACTTCAGTTTCATAGCATAGAGGTGGTGTGACAACAAGCTCCACGCCACAGTTCTGTGAAAATCCTGGGAGGCTTGAGATTCATTTCATACCCTGGTGATGGTCTACTAAGAGAACAAAATGCTAGGGCAGAATCACTGACCATCAGATCTTACCTAAATGTTAATTATTCAACTAACCCCAACCCCCCCCACTGGCTTCTGATCTTATTTCTCTGGATCAGAGAGGGACAGAATGTATCTCCTTTTTAAACGTGTGTAAGTAGTTGGTCAGCCAAATGGCTCCAATATCTGGAAGCACAACTCTGTAACAGAAAGCCCACAGGGCTGTCCACATGCTAGGCAAGCCCAGGTCACTGAGCTCTACCCCAGTCACTGAAATTCTTTATAATAAATGTAAGTTGGATTTTAGTCTCATATAAATGTAAATCCACCACATAGCATAAGAAACACCAGATTTCCAAACCTTTCGGATGTCTCCATCACCTTGACCCCATACATATGCCATGGTGATGTATCCAAGAACCAAACGTGCAAGGCGCTGTGATTTGTGCCCTTGGAGGTCATCGATGCTGAGCTCTGGTAACTGAGAACAAAGGGGAGATGTGACTAAAATCAATCCCGGTGACGTTTTAGGCTTTAAAAAACAAGATTAACATGTTAATTAACTGCACAAGAAGACGAATGGAGTACATATGACAAACCTTCTCAACTTCTCCTCGAAGTTGGCCATTCCCAATCAGTTCAGGCAGATTTTTGGCAATATGAATCCAGGCATCATATTTGTGAGGTAGCTCCTCCTTGAAAACAAACAAACAAAAACAAACAGGGTTTTGATTTGCTAGTGAAAGCTGCGGTAAAACAGAATTAGCCTCCCATAGACAGCACATCTTGCCTCCAGCTCCATTTTACATAACATGATCCCGACAAACGCTTACCTGTGTAGCAACACCAGTCCACACTTTGCCACCTGACTGACACACAGGTCTCAAGTCTGTCTCTGTGCTCCAACTCTTCCTCAAAATTCTTCTTTAAAATTATCCTCAAAGTTCCACCCAAACCTTCCTCACTACTCCATGAGTTGTGTACTCCAATCATATGGATGCTGCCTTTTCACACTGTTAATCTGTCATCTGCTACATTTTCTTCCAGCTAAATTTTAAGTTCTTTCAATGGAAGAGAAATGCATTAAATTCCACCTCTGGATGAAGGGTTCTACTCAATAATCTCATATTTCACATTTAGTTCTTGTAGTGGTTCAAGAAATGGTCTCTGTGGTAAATTCAGAAGCCCAGGCTCAGTTTAAAGAACTTGTTTTTGTGTGTAACTTATCCTGTCCTATGCCTCCTCGCCAGGCTGCTTCAAGGTGTGCTTTTGCAGTTTTTAATAATGACTAATGACTGCATATAAACGAAAGGATTAACTTCAGTCAACGTGGATGAGGTTTCAAGCTTCAACAGAAAGTCAATAGTGTAAGAAAACTATAAAGCAAAGTGACAAATACAAAATCCAAACTTTTAAGATAGGCTGTTATATGTCCAGTCTTAATTAGTTGAGGCAGATTTTCAGTAAGGAAAATATAGGCTGCACACTCACCAGATAGCCACCAGACTTTCTTCCTGACCACACAAACACTGTCCTCTGCTGCTTTTGGCAGTGTTTTTTTTTCCTCCCGTGTTTCACTGTGTAGCACGCTCTAGTTTTTGGCTAGTCTTATTTTCCCCCCAACTAACAGATGTACTTTTTTTGTTGTATACCATGGTTAGTGTCTTATTTGACAGCACTTTTAACAAATGTAAGGCTTAATCGTAATACACTTCCAGCTCAAGATCCCTAAATTAATGGAGATGAAAACCTCAGAGAATCATTTAAATTCTGCTAGATTGGAGAATGTATATCAGATGCATTATTTTCTTTTGAAGAGGAAGCTAACAGTTTATGAGACTAGATGGGCATCAAGTTCATAATTTCCAGGAAAGATTTTAAGTGATGTGAAACAAATAAACAAACAAATAAAAAAACCCTACTGTTTGCGCCGTGTTTCACGTCATGCCATCCAACTTCCTCATCAGCTCACGTAGCAGAATTACCCTTTTAATTCCCGTTTCTGCTACTTCCTTCTCTCCAAAATTAGATTTAAATAGCCAAAGGGAAGTTTTGTTTTGTTTCTTTGGGTTTTTTTTTTTTAAAACTCGTGGAATCTATTCCTGAAGTCTCTGTAATTAATCTGCGGGAGCAGAGCCTGTGCGGGGCGCGGCGGGCTGGGCATCTCCATGCAAGCAAGCGCTCTGGCTGGGTCGCCTGCGGTCCAGGCTCGCGGCCACCCGTCCCGCAGCGCGGCTCCGCCCGAATGTCCACTCTCGGCGGTGCTGGGCGCCCGGGGCAGGGGGGTGCGGGGGGCCCGGGGCAGAGGGGTGCGGGGGGAGGGGGAGGGCGGTGGCTCCTGGCCAGGCGGAAGCTGGGCGGCGGCGGGAGCGCGCGGGACACCACGGACATCGCGTCCCTGCACCTGCTCCTGCCGCGGCCAGGGATCGCGCTTTGCTGGGGCTTGATGGGGGCAGGTGCCGCGCTGGGGCCGAGCGCTGGTGCGCTCCCCATTAGCTGCTGTCGCCCGGGGCTGGGCCTCTGCCTGAGGTCGCTAGGGTTGCGGGTGTCTGCAAGAGGTTGCGCTGACCTTAGGAAGGGACCCGCGGGGACTCGCGGAGTGACTCCCGTCCGGGACGGAGCGCGGCTTTGTGAGCTTTCTTCCAGCCTCTGTGCCACTGACCCTCCTCTCTGCCTCGGTCCCAGTCACCACCCAAAGTGCAGGGGTTTGTTCCGCTGCTTCTCTGTCCTCACATCCATGAGAGCCCAGCACCTCTGCATGGCTGGCTTGCCCCCTATTCGCTATCGGTGTTTGATAATTAAAATATTGTCGACAAATCGGTTTATCTGGCGTTCCTTAGAATACAATTTAGGTACATGGAGGGTACCGCCCCTCCCACCCCATCCCCACCACCAGCACAGGGCTTGCACTTTATAACTTACAAAAAAGAGAAAGAGAAAGAAAAAGAAAGATCGCAGGTGGCTCACACCTGTAATCCTAGCTACTTTTGAGGCTGACACGGGGTCATGGTTCAGAAATTGGGAGAACCCATCTCAAGGGAAAAAAACTGGAGGACAACAACAAGCTGTGGGGAGGAGGGGGAAGAGAGCATCCTGGTCCAGGCTGGATTGGGCAAAAATAAACTAGATTTATCCAAGATAAGCAGAACAAAAAGGGCTCCACAGAGGCGTTGCTCAAGAGGTAGAGCACCTTCTTTGCAAACGTAAAGCCCTGAGTTCAAACCCCAGTCCCACCAAATAAATAAATAAATAAAGGTACTTGAGACTCTTACTTGAATCTTATGCTCAGTAAACAGCAAGAATTATTAACACAGCACAAAGGGTATTTGATGTGGTGGTTTCAACCAGTTAGGAACACACATTTTGAACATTTGAAATATATCAGTAGACAAAGGGCTTTCCCTTTGATTCATAGGTTATTTATAACTTTGGCCTTTTCAAAGTGCCCTCTAAAAATGAAATTGTGATAAGCCAACTTCTCATTTGTGATAAGCCAACTTCTGATTCCTATAACACAATTCTTTTGTAAAGCTAAAATACTTTCCAAAGTGTCCTTATCTGATTGCTCTCCATTTTCACCTTAGGTAAATAAGAGTGTGTGTGTGTGTGTGTGTGTGTGTGAATATCTCAGAAGAAAATTTTAGGAACATTAAGTAAGACCTACTTATTTAAACTCTGCCTCCAATTTTGCCACTGCTTTTTCCATTTGTTTAGTGGAAGTTACTGAAACAGAGTTGTCCACTAGAAGTTCACTCTTCCAGGTAAATAACGAGAATACAATGCAGTTTTCCACATTTCACAGCTATTTCTTACCAGTGGTTGTGGCAGAGCAAAAACCAAGTCTTCGTCTATGTGGTGTTCTTCAAGAATTTTCCAACACCCCTCCATAGCAGGTATTTCACTGTGTGGCGTTCTTGCAGTCCACTCTACTGGTCCTTCTCAGCCACTGAAGGGTTTCAGAGCATCTATTTATTACAGTCACTACTAGACCTGATCAGTCCACTGATCACGTCAGCAGGGAGGATGACTTCCACTTTTGGGGTACTTTCATTTTCTATTTTCTATATTTGCAATTGGACAAACAATAAAATTGCAAAGTCTAGTCATCATATGAAGAAACTGAAAGTCTGTATTCCATATCAGGTGTTTACATCTAAGGAACATCATTTCCTTGATGCTATCTGGGAACCCAAAAGGGCCAAAGTGAGATAAGAATAATCATGGAAACAAGTGACCAGAAAAGAGCATTTTACATTATGGAAATTCTTAAATCTCTGGTGTAAAATAAAGAATATTACCATGGCTATTGTCCTAAATTACCGTTGTCACTGGCTTTCATTTAAGCTTCTAGGGGTCTTTCAAATTATTAGTGTCTTATTTCAGCAGCCCTGAAATACAACTTGTGACTCTCTGAACTGTTATTCAGTGACTCAGAAGTAGAAAAAAATAGATGCACATGAAGAATTGGTAAATAGCACCTCTCCACCTCCCCATTTTTAAAAAAAAACTTAGATTGTTTGTGTTCAAAATAATGGCCTTCTCTCTCCTGCCCATTCCTAGTAAGTGACTTCCAGGAAGGTTGTCTGGAATCTCTACTATATCTTCCAGCCAGGTGCTGGTGAGACCACAGCCCAGTACATTTGGAAATGTTCTAATATGTTAAAAATTAAAGCCAAAGATAAAATACCTTGAAAAAAATTTTTTTTCAAAATACGAAATTAAGACTCCATTTGGCAAAGGTTTTCACAGTGCACACAAGACTATGTTCCTGAAGGGCATGTTTGACCTTACAATTCTGAAGCAAAAGCAGAAAGCATCTTTTGAATGATCAAAAGGAAAAAAGAGAAAAAGTTAGTGTGCAATAATTAAAAGATAATGCAGGCTGTTCTCCAGGTTGTCAGCTGTGAAATAAATTAATAAACCATGGCTCTGGAACATTCTGTAGCTCCCATGATATTCTCTACTACTAATTATTATGGCTTTTCTGTGAACAGATGGCTTTACAAGAATATGCTCTCTATATAAAAAAGGAAAGGTAAGAGAAATTGAAAGCAAACCAAAGTGATGCAGCAAACAGAACACCATGGTAAGCTTCTTTACAATAAATGATTCATGAGGTCCATTCATTTGGAGCCAGGCCCAAGGGTGTGTATGGGGGAATCTCGAAGTCCTGTCATATCTACATGGACAACAAAGATGCTAACAAAATATTAACCATTAGAAAACATGTGATTATCTATGGATTTTTACTCTTTGGACCTGAATTTATCTATGAGTGAGTCTTAACATAGAATGAACTTTCCGATGATTCTGACTTGGAAAAAAATCTCGTGAGACATAGCTTAGTAAAACTTTTTTAAACATTGCTTATCCAGTTCCCTCACTAAATCTGGAGGAACAATCATTACTATTTTGACTACAGGAACGTCATTATTTACTGCTTCAAGTCTCTCTCTAATGTCTTGTTCAGACCCTTTCATATTTCTAAAACTATATTTTCAATTGATCCTGTCCTCATTTGTCTTGATTTTTCTTCAGCTGTAACCACATTGCATTGAGACCCCCTTCACTTGGTTTTAGAAGAACATTTTAATTTTATGTTTTCATTGGATTCTTTACCTACATCTTTAGCTTTTTACTTCTACCCAGGTTATCAGGTAAAAACATGAGTGCTTAAGAGCCAGAACTCAGCCTTTTCCTCTAGGACCTCCTGGATCTGAGGTTTTATATTAATCTGCCCCTGTCCTTTATAAATAAATATCACCTGTTCCCATAACTTGAATATTTTTTCCTCTGTAATGATTATATTTCCTAACGAATCATCCTCATCCTCATTATAGACTTCTCTTCCTGGAAATTCTGTCATCCTGCTTCACTGTGGACTCATCAACACCAGATCTACAAAGGAACTTTATCCAGGGCCATGCTAGAGGCGAACAATTTATTCCCTCTTAATATGGCATCTTCTATAATACACCCAGCCCTGACCTTACCATTGTGTTATGCTAATTTTAATATACAGCTGTGTCTTTAAAAGAAAAGAATTCTTTGCTAACAATACGATGATCTAAAACATGCAAGAAAGACAGAAAATCATCGAAATGGCAACATTTACTGGCATTCATTATTAACACTTAACTGATAATGTTTTATGTAAATTAATAATAGCCAAATTTTCCTGAGTACTTATTAGTGTCAGAAATTTTCTAAGAATCTTGCTTGTAGTGACAAATTTGACTTCCATAATTGATTTATTAGGAAAATTTCATGATGTTCCTAGAAAGGAATTAGAGTGGTTAGGATTTTCTATGTGTTTTCTTACTTGAATAAAACAACTAAATACTGCTGTAAGGAAGAGAACATAATTTTAGACCTCAAAGTATTTATACTATTTTTGAGATGACTTGTGGTTCAAGTGGTAGAGCGCCTGCTTAGCAAGCATAAGGCCCTAAGTTCAAACCCCAGTACTGCCAAAAAAGAAAAGAAAGAAAGAAAGAATTGAAGCTACAGAAAATGGAAGAAAATGAGCCAGATCTAGTTTGAAATTACTCTCCAAGTAAACAAATATAATACTAATGTATCAGGAAAAAATCTCAAACATTAAATACTACAATAGATAATTTATCTTTGCTTAAAATAAACTTATATAAGAGAAGGATGCTGATAATAATATACAGAATCCTAATTCCAGAAAAATAAAACTGCAAGTGAAAATATATCTCAGACTTTAAAAAAGGAATTTATACCATTTTTAATAAGTGTCTTAACAGTCACTAAAAAAAAAAAAAACACTACAACTATTGAAAATAGCAGAAAATTAACCTAGAAGGAAATCAATGTGAGTCAATGCCCTGTATAGCTATCCTTATCTCAACCAGCAAAAACGCTTGTTCCTTCCTATTATTGCTTATACTCTCTCTACAACAAAATTAGAAATAAGGGCAAAATAGTTTCTGCTGGGTATTGAGGGGGTGGGGGGAGAGGGAGGGGGGGAGTGGGTGGTAAGGGAGGGGTGGAGGCAGGGGGGGAGAAATGACCCAAGCCTTGTATGTACATATGAATAATAAAAGAAAAATAAATTAATTAATTAATTTAAAAAAAAAAGAAACAATGTTTTGATAAGAAAAGCAATTGCTTTTTTAGACTGATTCCCAGGCTATCCACCCCTCCAGCCCTGGTTTTTAGCAGTGTTGGGGACCAAACCCAGGGCCTTGCACATGGTAGGCAAGCACTCTATCATTGAGCTCCCACCTAAAAAAAAAGAAAATA